ACACAAACACATTTTGTAAAATTCTTGTCGCGACCGTCCGTTGCAGGGGGCAGTCAGTGGAGCGAACTGCGCGAAGCCCTCGTCGAGCAGCTCGAGGCAACCTGCGGTATGCAGTCGCTGCCGTAATGCATATCATGTGTATTTCTTCAATTTTCCAAGCAGAATTTTATTTATTTCTGTTTATCCCAGGTTTCACGCTACCTGTGGAATGCTTCAGACAGTGTGCTGTTCTATGCCATCTCACAATGCCGATGGCTAGCGTTGAGGGGTATTGGAATTTTACTTTTGGTTGCGATGAGAGTTTATGATGTTATGATTGAATAAAGACTGTGAGGGAATAAATGATACTAGAATTATTCTTACTGTTAAAACTCATCGTTTAGGTGGTTTGGGCGATGCGGTGACCACTGTACTGTGCAGCGTCGGCGGGAACACTTGTTGCTACGTCAAAAGATTGGCGGTGAACCGCGTACCTCACTCTGGACCAGCGTCCGCCCTGCTGGACCTGTATGGTATATCATCGAAGCACATCGTTAATGCGGTGTTCGAGGCGATGAAGCGTTAGTCGTGATTTTTGCTCGGTGAAGTTTTTTTGCTCGATGATCACTTTTTTTGGTAGCTATAAAAGTTCGTAAGTTAGACGCTTTGCTGTTCGGTTATTTGGTGGTAAAAGCAGGCCGGTGAGAACGTGTAAGTGACGAGACAAGTGACAAGTCGGAGGCAAATATGACGCATATCGACAAGTAAGGAAAACTTTACTTCAGAAACAATAGTAGATCGAAACAGTGTTGTTGTTTGTCTTCTGTTTCTTTTTTCTTACGACAAAATGAATGAATTAACCCTCGAAAAGTACAACGGGAGCGGAAGTGGGTAGCAGCAGGTCCTCGTCGGCTTCCGCCGCCTTCTTCTTTGCCGTCACCGCTGCGGCTTTCTGACCGTCATCCCCAGCGGTAGCGGAAACGTCCTTTGTTTTTTCTTTGCTTGAGCCGAGGATGCTGGCACAGGTCTTGGCAATTCGGCATGCAAACGATTCGTCGTTGCGACAGCCCTCAGCGATCTCGGTTACGAATGCCCGATCCTCATCGAGTTTCAATAGCAAGGGGATATCGAACGAGTCATGCGTCGGCATCAGCTGGCAGCACAGGTTGTCAATAGCCACAGCGGCCATCACCGTCTGCACGTAGCCTTCGACCATCTCATTCAGACCCATGTTCAAGTCAGGAAAACTCTTGTCGTCCATCAGAATCAGGCGCTTGATGTCGGTGCCCTCGGTGCCATCAGCGCCCATCGACAGGTTGGTGCCGA